GTTGCATCCCATTGCAATGTGTCATTGTTGATAAGTAGTTTTCCCATTTCTATTTTTTTACTGGTTACAAATTGTTCAGAAACAAGTTCCATTTATGTTTTTTATATTGTCTACTTGTATAATAAATTTAAAAAATACTTAGTTCGTTTTTTTACAACCAATGCAACATTGCAACATTCAAAAATGGTATACCCCAAACGGGCAGGACCGAATACACTCGGTCTTCGAATATCTGCAATTGCGCGAGATGTTACTTTCACAACTCTGTTTGGATGGTCTCAGTGACCTTACATTGAGTGGCTCTATCCCCTCATAGGAAATCACTTTCAAATTCACACTTTAGACTGCCTTGCCCTCTGAAGGTTAATGAAAGGTTTCGCCTGCATTGCAGACTTCATCAGTCGAATACCGGGATGAATCACACTCTTCGAGGAGGAAGACGAAGGTAAAGTGGAGAGGTAGTTTGACACATTCAATCCATTACCCTTGGTGCTGAGACTGATTGTCTTGCATCAAGGGTAACGGATTGATTACGCAAAACTACCTCTCCGCTTCGTTTTCGCCTCCCACCAAAACTGATCTACCCAAGAGTATTCGACTGACGAAGCCAGTAGTACAGACGAACCTTTCGTCAATAAAGATTGTGTTATCGTAACCTCTCTGTGGCGAAACTCCTCCGGGATCATGGGGGCGGGCAAGGGGCAGGTCTCCTTTAATGTATGGTGGGCGTGGTAAGGTTGTGGAGGTTGTGTTGTATGTGATGTGTGAGTGGGTATGTGAGGGCATCAATTTGTGACCTGGTTGTGTTCCTTGCGGGTTAATTCATATTTTTCGGTCAGTCACCCTGATTTCAGTTTAGTTCCACATGTAAGTCGTAAATATACATTTTTTGGTCTTAGGATAATTATTACACTCACTGTCAGGTACTGGTGGCTCAGGTATGTGTTCTGGTGGTTTATATAATGTCATGGACCTTGTGATGATTTACACTTTATGTGAAAATTTATAAGAAGTACTGTGGTAATTTTATACCCATGTTAAATTTAATTGCTGTTCAATGAAATTGGTTGTGGGGCGCTGTGACCCTACATACTTGTACATTTGCATTGTTGTAAAATTAGTGGAATAAAATATGAAGTAAAAATATGATGATCTGAGGTAAATGGGGGGGGGGTAGGTGAACTACCCAAAAATATTTGTTATTGAATGTTTTTCATTAATGTTTATATTGGGCATGGGAATGCGAGGAGGCTTAATAAATTGATTCGGTATTTTTAATATCTTATGTAAGTTAATGAACATGTACGACACTGATATAATTCCTGTGAATTTTAATTTTCATAAGTCTTGTGATACTATGTATCAACTTTTGTAATATGTGTATATGTAATATGTGAGTCCGTGACTATATCATGTGAAATGTTCTCATGGGTGACGGCATTCATAATTATATACATGGTTTTTAGTTATAGTCATAATACTAAGTTCAATATTATGTCCTTTTTTCTAAATATTATTTGTCATGTTGGCATAATTTATGCATCTTATACTAAAGAGGATTTTTTTTTTTGTACTGTTAACAAGATAATATATTCAAGGTTTCAATTGCGTTGGTTATTCGTGTTTGCGTTCACTGTACAATGGTATGATCTGGGGTTATGGGGGGTGTATGGGGGGGGGGGTGTACTGGGGGTGTGTGGGTGTACTGGGGGTGTGTACTGGGGGTGTGTGGGTGTACTGGGAGGGTGGGGGTGTACTGCTCAAACATATTTTATTACATGTACTTAATGTGTATATTGCTGTTAGGAAGGGGTAATTGAGAATTGTTTTTAATAACTATTGCTTGCACAGTTTTTCTTTGTTTTTGTGTAAAGTAATTTTACATGTATGAGGTGTGCGCAGTGTACTGACATGTTATTGTAACTTGAAATGATGTGATTGATGTCGGGTATAATATTGTGTAAACTTGTTCACACACGTGTTGGTGTTGTACCGAGTCATTTGAAGAGAAAATTTTCTAATGGCAGTGTAACACTTGTAGTGTTTTGCTTATGAGGATATGATTGTTTTTGTAGGTGAAATATCAGACACTGTATGCTTTATTTATTTATTGTAATGTGTATTTTAAATAAAATATAAATAAAAAAATAAATAAAGATTCTCAATGTTGCACATGTCTTACCCTTCCATATCTAAACTCAAGGCACTTAACACCAACACTATTACCCCCACTCGCCCAACTAATACTACAGCCAGCCATTTACGCAGCTCCTCCCTTTGTCCACAGGAGAGCACTCGATGGAGTGCAATGTCCGCCTCTCCAGTCTCCCCTGATCCAGTGGTGCTAGACTGGGTTACACAAGTACTGAACTGAGGTACTTTTGTTGATCTTCTGCTACTAAATAATGATATTAAGAGTGCAGCGTTGTATGTCCTTTGTGGGCTTAGCTCTTAGCTTTGATTGTAATAATTGATATAGAGCAAGATTAATAAACAGAAGATTAATATACTGAGCAAGTCACGTTGTGACTAAGACCTGTGTTAGGTGGGTCCCCACACAGGATACCTGTAGTAACTTCCGGGGGTCACCGCTTCCACGGCTCAGTCCCATAATAGACCTCATGTTGCATAACCCCTGAGCAGGTCACCTTATGACTAAGACTTGCATCAGGTGGGTCCCTAATACAAGCAAGCCACATCTGTTGCTTAACCACTGAACGGATCATCATATAACTAACACCTACGTCGAGAGACATTTTTCTTTTTCCTGACGATGGAGATCTCAGCAGCAGCTGCAAAGGAACTACCATAGTTCAGCAAGACTGGCTGCAACTGCAAAGGAGCATTCATTAGTGTATGAATGCTGGTGCCTCATGAACCATATGGGTTTGGTGTTTATTATTATTATTATTATTATTATTATTATTATTATTATTATTATTATTATTATTATTGTTTGAGTGAAAACAGTGAACAGACTGCAAAGTTCAATTAGAAGGATAATACAAAATTTAACATCCAGATATTAAAAATCTTAATACCTGGGTATTTAAAAATTCTAAAACCCGCGTATTAAAAATCTTAATACCCTGGTATTAAAAATCTTAATAATTAGGTATTAAAAATCACAATACCCGGGTATTAAATATTCATAAGGATAAACATACACACAGATGTACAAGCAATAAAATCACAGTAAACAGGTGACATCACAATATACAAAACAACCACAGTGAAAAAATAGTGAACTTCCAAGAGCTTTCGTGATTTCTCCCATTATCAAAAACTTTAGAAATAATAAAAACGAAAAGGCTTATAAGGCCCGTGGCCTGGCAGGCAATACTCTCGATTCACACACTGTGTTTCGATCCCCGGCAAGGGGATCAGGTCCTAGTCTACCACGAGGCCTAGTCACAGACCGGGCCGTAGGGGCGTTGACCCCCGAAATCCCCTCTAGGTATAATCCTCCAGGTAAGAGTGGAAACATTAGGTATCTTTCCTTACACCTGTTGTCCCGTTCACCTGGAAGTAACCAGGTAGGTACCTGGATGTTAGTCGACTGGTATGGGTCGCATCCTGGGGGACAAGATTGAAGGGTCTCAGTGGAAATAAGACAGTCATTGATGACGCACTGACTTTTTTGGGTTATCCTGGGTGGATAACCCTTCGGGGTTAAAAATCCGAAGAAAATCTTATCTTAACGAAAATAACACCTTATGGCCAACATTTATCTTTACAATGGAAAATTACTACAAGCCAATCCACAGAAGCCTAACAGCAAAAAAAAAAAAAAAACTATATCACTGCCTTCAGATAATACTATCCATGAAAGATAAGGATAAGCTCTATCAGCCAGAAATCCCTCGTTATACTCTCCACCTTGTACATCCCAATAACAGTAATCTAGTTCATATTAGCCAGATTTCCACATCATTGTTCAACATCACTATTATGGAAACGTTCTGCTGGTGATGCAAATGAATGGAACAGTATTTTTTTCATGGTCTAGATGAAGGGATGTTATCAGCCAGAGTTATCACTTGTTATCATGGATGGTACTAGCCAGCAGCAGACAGTAATCATGAATTAGTGAAGTGCCTTCCTTCCCTGCCTTACCATACACATGTAAGTTCCCATCCTGTCTCACTTTTAATTATTGTTCTACGGCCGTCTTACACACTCACGGGTAAGCGCTAAACCCGTAGGGATCGCACAGAAAGATCTGCGTGTGTCACCGATCTTATTAATGTGAAAACCAAAGCACACATTATTTCACATTTATTGCTTTGTCTTTATATATATATATATATATATATATATATATATATATATATATATATATATATATAAAATATATATTATATATATAATATAATATATATATATATAAGCCCTTTCTGAAATTTTCTCTTATACGTTTAAAGATATATTTTTTTCACTAATGTTAATGCAAAAATTTTTAATTTTGCACCAAAAGAATCTTAGAAAACTTACCTAACCTTATTATAACAAGAACAATTTATTTTAGCCTAACCTAACTAAATATATTTTAAATACGTTTACAATAATTTAGTACTAAACAAACACAATCAAATATATTTTTTTCGTTAGGTTCAGAATGATTTTGGCGAAATTATTGCATACACAAATTTTCGCTTGTCCTATATGGCAAGATGAACGTTGCTATTTTTAAACCAAGATCGCAAGTTCTGCCTGTTCGGCACGACATATATATATATATATATATATATATATATATTATATATATAATATATATATATATATTATATTATATATATATATATATATATATTATATTATATTATATATATATATATATATAACGACGACGAGAACAACAATAATAATAATAACCTACAATAAATTACATATTTTTTTTAAATAAATAGGAAAAGTTTATTAAAATCAATGTTGAGGAGGCACTGCTGATAAAATTTCAGTGTTCAGATTTAGATTTTGATCTGTATAATTTTTTCTAGTCTTCGCATCTACAAAATATACAATAATCAAAATCAGTATCAGCAACACACGCCCAAGGAGCCGTGACTCGACCCCTGCAACCACAAACAGGTAAGAATGGGAACAAGGTTAAGGTGGTGGCGATGTGCTGTGGCGATTGTTGTGGCGACTGTTGTGGCGACTGATGTGGCAAGGAAGGACAATCCGACTCCTGGTATGGATCTCCTTCACCAGTTTCTCAACAACGACCCAGGCCAGGTGAGCCATGGTGTGAGGGGGGAGATACGTGGACGCAAGTCATGGCGTGCTCATGCTATACTAACTTACTGTTGTTGCTAAGTCAACATGTATTACATTAGGCTGTCGTTCAGAGACTCGCCTGAATTGCGCTGTCTGCGAATTTCTGACGACAGCTGTTGAATGTTTGATGGAAAATGCGTTTCCCTTTTTTTCGGGGCACCCTGCCTTGATGGGCGACTGTCGATGTGGTAACAAAAAAAAATATTGCACTGATAAAATGTTAAGGTAGCAGTAGCACTGAATATAATAATAATAATAACAATAATAATAATAATAATAATATTTATTAATTTTTATTTTAATTATTATTTATTATTATTATTATTATTATGCTAATGATATTGATAATTAAAAGAATCTTTTTTACCTCAGGCGGTCTCCCACCAAAGTAGGGGACCCCAAAAAACGAAACATTCATAATGATTCATTCAACAACTGCCTTGCCAGAAGTGTGCTGATATGACAACTCAAATGGCCCTCCGAACAATAATATCGTCACACTTCCTTCCGAGTGTAGGCACTGTAGGCCTACTTCCCACCTCCAGGACGCAAACCCCACTCATCGCTTTCCCCTTGATTTGCTCATACTCCAACAGTACATCAAACACTAAAAATTATTTGACCACTCCAGTTTAACATTCTCACACGCCTAGTGGATGCTAAAGCCTCTACCACTTAAAACCTTCACACCAAAAGCTCCAGTGGCGGGCCATCATATGACTAAGACCCACGTCAGGAAACACTTGTCCTGTTTCCTGACGAATCTTATCAAACCTAACCATCCCTACAAATTTTTCTGGGGCGACCTCTACGCTTTCTTTCCACCTCCCCAGATTTATATATTCTTTTTTTGCCATCCTATTCTGCTTCCTTTCTAAATGGTCACACCATCACAACGACCCCTCTCCAGGCCTTTAAATTATATCTTTTATAACCCTCACACCATCTAATTTATGTGATCCTAATTCTCTGCATAACGTTCGTACCAAACATTGCTCTCAAATATGACATCTCGGCCGCAGTAGTGTTAGCATCACTACTCAAGTAGTATATGAAAAGTAGGGGTGCCATCAGTACACTAAGCGAAAGCACAATAAGTGTACAGGGCCCAAGACTGTTCAACAGCCTCCCAAGAGGGATAAGGGGAATTACCAACAGACCCCTGGCTGCCTTCAAGAGGGAACTGGACAAATATACCTTAAGTCAGTACCCTATCAACCTGGTTGTGGTTCCCCCGTTAGACTACGTGCAGCCAGCAGTAACAGCCTGGTTGATCAAGCCCTGATCCACCGGGAGGCCTGGTAAAGGACTGGGCCGCGGGGGCGTTGACCCCCGGAACACCCTCCTGGTAGACTCCACGAGTAGTAAATTATGGTTGTAAATTTCCCCCTTTGCCTCTAAAGATAAACTTTTTTCTTTCCACAAATACCTCGACGCACCATCTATCTTTTTTTCCTCGTCTATTCTATGGTTCGCCTTGTCTATCGTAAACTTATTTGCAGACATGTCGACTCTTTTCAATCTGATATCCAGCATTTCATTACCTAAACTCTTTGTTGCTTTTATTAGTTTTCTCTTTTCTGCGTTCACTTTTAATTTTCTTTCTTTTTCACACTCTCCCAAATTCCTTCACTAACCTTTGGCAATTTCTTTTCAGTCCCCCAAACAAATTGTAGCACGCATCAATAACTAGGCTTCTACCCTTCAACCTTAACTGTTTGCCATATTCCTTGTACTCAAATGCATCCATATATCAAAGGTTGACACTTAAATTATAAATGACTCTTTGTCATCCATAAATCCTCGAGTCCCTGGACCCATTATATACATCTATAATTTTTTGACTACCGTCCATAGGTTGAGAAGGGATGCATAATAAACTTATTAAACTAAAAATCCCCACTTCGTATCAGATTCCATCTTACAATCTTACACCTCTGTCCAACACTTAGTGTCCACTTCTTTTACGGCTCCATTTATAATGAACAACAAAGGTGACACTGTGCAGACAAGGTAACCTCTGTCTTTGCCTAGGTTAACCTTGACTTGTCATTTTTATTATATTTATGTGAAGTTTTAAGCCCATATGGGTTATTCAACACAAGTTGTGGTGGAGGCTTGAGCCTTCATCAGATAAGAAGCTAAACAGACACGCTATCTAACTGTACAGTAGTCTTGATTCCTAGTAATCTTGACAAGCTTTAGGTGTCCCGTCCCCAACGCGGTAGTCCACGTAGATGGACAGTATGGTGTAAGTCTGGCTTCAAAACATTTCTCTCATTTTTGAACTTCATGAAGTCAATGATCGAAACGCTGTCAGTATGAACACTTTCTTCGCATACCGTATAGCTTTACATGGCGCAAGACACTGACTTATTTCGGGTTATCCTAGGTAATTTACACATATGTTACCATGTATGATAATTGTACTTATGCGGATTTGTACATAAATAACCTTACACAGCCTAATTACATTCTTTTACTAAAAGAGATTTTCAACTTGCTGTACAAGAAAACTAATCTGACCCAAATCCTAAAAATGCATTGAAATCAGTTTAGTGCTGAAATATAACGCATGTAACATTAAAACACAAACATATATGAGCAGCTAACACGACTAATCATTTTCCTGGCAGCTGTGTAACTACATTCAGTGCCAGGAGCCGCTCAGGGCTAGTGAGTGCCCGGAGGGAACTACCTATCAGGAGAAAGTGACGCAGATGGGCTGCTGCGGCGCCTGCGTCAGGTATAAGCGTGAGTACTGCGCATTTATCGGTGTCTTTGTTGAGTTGTCTTCAGTGTGGTGTTTGTCTCGCATTTGGCGGATGGAGGACTGAACTTCCACATCCTTGTGCTTAGTGACCCACATTCAATAACGCTTCGAATTACTACTACTACTACTGTTACTACCACTACTATTACTACCACAACTACTACTACCACAACTACTACTACTACTACTAATAATAATAATAATTGGTGTTCCATTTACGTCTACATAAGCTGACAATACAGTACATATTTAAGGAGGAACTGCTATAAAAGTCTTTCGTTGCAGTATGTTAGGAGGAACTGGATTCGACTCCTCGACTGAACGGAGCCCTGAATAAAGCTTCCAGTTGCTGCTTGTGTGTTGTTATCATGTACAGGTGATAACGATCCCTGGCTGTACATTAACTGGAAGAGTATTATGGGGACCAATTACTATCATATTATGCATTGTGTCTCCTGAAACGAACTTGTCTGTGGGCGTGGTATATGCTGGGGCACTGATAGTTTTTGAAATTATCGCTAAGTGGTGTTGCATTGTCTGTTGTGGTAGTAGTAGTAGTTGTAGCAGCAGCAGCAGCAGCAGCAGTAATAGTAGTAGTAGTAGTAGTAGAAGTAGTAGTAGTAAAGTAGTAGTAAAAGTAGTAGTAGTAGTATCAGCAGTAGCAGCAACAACAGTAGTGGGTGAGGTAGAGTAAGTAGTAATGTAATCTGAAAAAATCAAAGTAAAGATACCGTGGGCTGGAACAATTAGCAACTAAGCCACAATGTGCTGAAAAAACTTTAATCGACGTTTCTGTCTGTGGTGAACTATTAAGTTAGGTAAAAGGACACTAGTGCAGCTAATGCGACATTTTATAGTGCAGATTTTTTTTTTTTTAGATTTTTGCCACCGAAGTGGCTAGTTTATTGTGCACCCATATCCATCCTATGGACGGTAGCGAAAGAGCATAGGAACTAGGTCCCAGAAGGGTTAACAGGTGTACATATGGATTTATATCTACATATCTAAAGTTCACTTATCTGTTGCAAGCAAATTTAGGAAATTTGCTTGATATCTTATTTTCATTAATAAGATATCTTGACATGTCACGTAGGTTATTATACTATCTCTGTATTCCTCAGTAAGTGGACAATTAAGCACATAGTGTTCAAGACAGTGACCATATGCCTGATCGCATAATTTGCATTTAGTTTGATCATCTGTGTGTCTCCCAAACTACCGGAAGTACTTGTAACCACCTAAGCCTGGCCCTCAAAATCATCAGTATTTGTAACCAACCAAAGGGCCGGGCCACTACAACATCAGTCTACTTGTAATCAAGCCTAATTGGCACTAAACATTTTTTATCTTGAAACCCAAACCCTAAGGGGCCATACAACATCAGTATACTTGTAAAGCCTAAGCCTGGCCACAAACATCATCTACTTGTAACCAAAGCCAAAACCCGGGCCCATACAAATCATCAGTACTTGTACCAAACCCTAAGTTTGGCCACTACATCAGTCAGTACTTGAAACCCAAGCCTCCCGGGCCCCACTACATCAGTCATCTTGTAACCAACCAAAAGCTTGGCCATAAACATCAGTCAGTATTGAAACCAACCCTAAGCGGCCACAACAACATCAGTCAGAAACTTGTAACCAAGCCTAAGCTGGCCACTACAACACTCATACTTGTAACCAGCCTAATTTGGGCCACTAAACATCAACATACTTTGTAACCAAAGTAACCGGGCCATACAACATCGCCCATACTTGTAACCTAGCAAAAAGCTTGGCCATAACATCAGTCAGTACTTTAACCAAGCCTAACCCGGCCCACAAAACTCAGTCAGTACTTGTAACCTAGCATAAGTTTGGGCCCACTACACATCATCGTATTGAAACCAACCTAACCCGGCCACTAAAACCCCGTCAGTTTTTAAACCCTACCCTAACTTGGCATACAAATCAGTCAGACTTGAACCCAACCCTAAGTTTGGTTTGCTCCTAAACATACTTATCTAACGTTATGATATCTAGGGGGATTAGTACACCTGTTTTTCTTTTGTTTTAACATTTGTGGGAAATTTTAACCACTTTATTACAATTTGGTGAACTTTTAAATCGTGAGTTCGGGAAAACTCGTCTAAATTTCCTTTAAATTCGAATTCTTTGTAAAAAGTCGCTTTTTTAAATATCCCCCAATGTTAAAATTAATACACCGTTTTGTTACGGTTGGTGTAATTCCTTTTTTCCCCCGGGGTGGGACCTATAATTTATCACTGATATATTAACAGAGGGGAAAAAATTCAAAAGCGAAACTTCACAGGTTTTTTTTGCCGGGTTTTTGGGGGGCGTTGCCCCCCGAAACCCTCCCGGAAAATCCAGTAAGTAAAAAAAATTTCCCCAGTAAAGGGGGGGTACCCTCAGCCCTCAGAGGGGTTTAAACCCCATCAGAAATTCCAGAAAGGAGAGAGAGACGGTATGGTGAGTTGGTACATAATAGTCCTCTAATAAAGCTGTTGTGAGAAAGGGGAAGTATACCCCACTAGCCCCTTAGAGGGGGTTAACCCCCTAGAAGGCTGACGGCCCCCCCCCCCCCCCCTTTTACGGGAAGTTTTTCCACAGGGTATGAAAACAAAATGGTATACAATCCGACAGGTTGTTAGGTAAGACACATATGAAACATTAACAATTTTTTCCGAAACGTTTCGCCTACACAGTAGGTTCTTCAGTCGAAACGAAAGTAGGCAAAAACTAGAGATGTGAAGACGATGTAATAAACCCCACCCTTTAAAAGTCGTAAAATTTGGGTTGTCAGCCTCGGCCTGGAGAATTCAGTTCCATACAGGATAGGGAACGAACTTCCCGGGCCCGGGGGGATGACAACCTCAAATTTTCGACTTTGGTGAGGATGTTCACGTCTTCACATCTCTATTTTTCTCCCTACTTTTGTATTGATGAAGAACCCACTGTTAGGCAAACTTTTTCGGAATAAAGTTGTCTAACTGTTGCTATGTACCCCAAAACGGTTCTTTAATTGTAATTTTCTGTCCGGGGACTTGGCCCCCCGGGAGTAAACACTGACATTCAAAAAAGTTTGGGTTGTTATATTTTTGGATTTTCCCCCTTTAATATACTGACATTTATATTCTGTAGCAGTTTAAAATTTTTCCCCAAAAAAAAACTTGTTTTAAGCCGAAAATGTCTTGTGTTATTGTTAATAACAGGTTACACCGTCGGAACATTGTCTAAAACTTTTTTTGTTTCCTCATCGCAGAAACGGGAACTGAACGCACGGGAGTTTGGACCCAAGTTTCGAGAGACGACCCCACCTTCCCCCCTCTGGGGAATTTGATGAAACCTCGACCCCAAAATCATTCGCAAATTTTGAATTCCTACGGGTGTGACTAAAACCCTAAACTGTACGCAGAAAAATGAGTCAAAGTATGTGTGTGCCTGGGAGTGTGGGATTACACATAATGTGAAATGTTAAACCCTTGTGGGCCATTTACCCAGGAAGTGGGGGGGTCGTCCCGCCCGTGAGGGGTGTGGGCTCGATGCTGCCGTGTGGGGAGGGGGGCCTCGATCCTCTTTAGTATGGACAGAAAAAAATTTGCTAACCAAGTTGATGTAGTAGGGGTCAAGGGAACAGGGTACATTTTTAAGTGTTATTGGGGGTTTTTCCCTTTAAACACCTGCTGTCCTTTACCTTGCAGTAAGTAGGTCCCTTGTTATTTGATGGAGGGGTCGAATCCGGGACAAATTTAACCAAAGTTGCCCGAAATGCTCTGCAAAACCAGGGGGCATTCTATTGTATCAGTATGTCAGCTGTGGGTCGATAAGTGTTCTGTCTGTAAAATAAGTTATTATTTTTTTTACATAATTATTGCACAGACGATCGGCTTCACATTTACATTTCGATATATAAAAAATCAAACTTAGAAAACTCTTAATTTAGTAAAAATCCCAGTGTAGAGCGGAAAACTATACAAAAAAATATTATGCGCCTATGCAAAACAGTGTCTTTTATCCCCACATTTTCCAGGACAATGCACTGCGGGTTTAGTATATCACTTGTTGTGGTTGCAGGGTCGAGTCATAGCTCCAGGCCCCCCCTCCTCCTGGGCCCCCTGTGTCTGTCCTACCCCGAAATAACTCCCCCCCTTCAAAGGGCCGGGAAGGGCTCTTATCCCAGGAATTTTCTACCCTTTTATTTCTTTAAAATTTAAATGATTTACCCCCAGTGTGTTGATCCCTAATTGAACCTTCCCCAAGATAATAAAAATAAGTAATAAAAAATATTGAAAAACAATTAAAAAAAAAATTAATTAAAAACAATAATAATAATGAAAATACGATTAAAAAAAATAATAATTAATAATAATAATATAATAATAATAAAAATAAAATAATAAAAATAAAAATAAAAATAAAATATTAAAATATAATTAAAATAATAAAAAAATAATAATTAAAAATTTAAAAAAACACAATAATAATGATAATGACCTCATGACGAGCATACTGTCTCCCCCCAAAATAATGGAGTGTTTTGGGGGGTCTACTGCAAGGTTTTTACGACGCCTGAACAAAAGGGGTCATCAAGCATATCGTGACGACCCGCTGGCGAACTGAGGGACCCTTTACGGCCAACGTGAGAAAACGTGCAAAGGACCTTAACCCAGAAAAGGGCAGGGCACATGGGACGTGGGGCATTCCCCTCATCCCAGTAGTCAAAAGTTCAATCAATGGCCAAAAAATGACTTTTTTAGTTGGTACAGTACACCCGTGTTAAGTTTTGGATACAGTACACATTTAAGAAAAAGACAGCAGTGTTTAAGTTTTTGGATAAGTACACGTGTTAAGATACATACACGCATGTAAAGTTTGGATACAGTAACAGGTTTTTAAGTTTTGAAAAACAGTACACATTTTTAAGATAATAACACAGTGTTTTAAGTTTTAGGATACGTACACAGTGTTAAGTTTTGGTTCAGACGTGTTAAATTAATTCATAACAGTCTAAGTTAGGATCAGTACACAGTGTTAATTAGGGTAAAGTAAAAACAGGTTTAAATTTAAAAAGGAAAAACAT